TATAGTAAGACATGAAGTCTTTCAGTGTATGTATTTGAAAGTTCAATTACAAAAATTGATTTCCAATTAACTTGGTATGCTTAACTGCAGCCAACATTTGTCGCAAGCTTCACTGAGAGTGTTTAAGAAATTTTGCAGGGGTTTAAGGAAAAGGTCCTCTATGCTCTATATTACGGTTCAGGTAAAGCTGGCAGAATATGAATATAAAACAGAAACTTTTACTATATTTGTATTCCTAAAATATGGTTACCGTAAGTATGAGTAACATTTGCCATATTAAAACTGGATTTTTTTTCTTCGAAAATTACGAGTGGGAAATTTCAAATTAATACGCGAACGTATAGCAATATTTTCCAAAAAGCGGTTACGTTTCGAACAATTTTTTATATTTATACCCTTGTGTATCTTCTATCGTTATTTTAATATAGAAAGGCCTTAAATAGTATTTTTGTTTTAATTAAATAATTTAACAGAATATCAAATTCTACATCCAAAAAATCCGCTAGATTTAGGACGAAAGCAAGTTAGGGCCTTTCTATTATTAATGTAAGGATATATAAAAATTTATACTTTTCTGCTTATTTTCTTCTTTTTCTTATTTGGCACTACAAGGGTGAAGGTGAAGTTTGGGGCCGAGAACAAAAACTAACCAGGGGCGATTGGCTCCGCCCGAACTTAGACTTTCTTATTTGTTTTAACTTAATTTTATGTACACATTTTTTAATAAATATGTGAAAATATTCACTCAAGTATAACAGTTACCGTAACCGTGTTTTGCTCATATGTTTAAATGATTCTCCCTACAAATTAACACTTGCTACAAATGTACACTTCCGACCGGTTTATTCGATACCTCATGACTTTTATTACACATCTATACGCAATTGTTAATATTTTGTAACAGATATTTTTGCCTTTTTGTTGTCATCGCTGATGTATTAATTGGTTAAATTTTCCATATTCATCATTTCAATATTCATTACTTGATTATTTGAATGTGACCCAAAACAATTAAACAATCGAGACCATTTTCAAATTAAATTGTAAATCTGTTTATAACTACTATACAATCAATGAATAACACCAACAGTAAAACGAACTTATATACGCAAACGCATAATACATGATATACAGCTCTGCATATACGCATATGTATCTGAATAGTCACATTTATGAATACCCAGCAGGACAAAGTGAAATAAATTCATAATCTAGTGACTTGTATTAAATGTACCACTGTCGTCTCTGGAACCGGAATTATCCCAAAGTGTACCTATGGCGTTTTTTAAAATAACTACTGTCGCAGAAAAAAATTTGGAAGTCCGGTAGTTTCCCCTTAACTATCTCTGCTAGGCTGGTGGAAAACCGGAATCCCAATAAACCGGATTATATTTTATCCAACTATCCGGTTTTTTTCAATTCATGCAAATCTTGACCTCTCAAAAGTTTAAGTGTACCCCCTTGATGTTGTCACACAAATGGAAGGGCCCTACAGTTTTACGCCGACTCCTGACGGCGATTTTATTTTTATGAGAATCTGTTTGTGAGTTTTACTTAGGAATAGATATCGGGACCCTGGGGACCCGCGGTACAAGTCTGAAAAACATTGGGATGGGTGGGTAAAAATTAAATCTCAGGACGGGCGGGATCCGGATTTAATATTTAGCCCCGCATCCATCTGTAGTATGCAGTACTGGGTTTCACCGTGAAAAAAAACTCCATCATACTACGTAGCTGTCCTCTGATCGAAAAACAAGAAACCAAATGGATGATGTGGTCATACATATACGGAAGACACGCTTCCAGTATTACCTATTATATTAAATTTAATGAAAATTTCCAACTTATTGGCCAGATTTTTTAGAAATATTTCAAGACTGCAATTTTTAGCCCACTGATTTTTAATACAAAAATATGCAAGCTTGAAGTTGCTTCAAACTACATTAATTTTTTATATTCTTTTAGTGAACTTTCTTACTTCCATACAAAAATAAATGCAGTCACATATTGTATGGAGAAAATTGAGCAAGCCCGTACACAAAAAAAAACTTAAAAATTAATAGTAATTTGTAGAAACTTTAAAGGTGTCAAAAATCATGAAATACTCCTATCATTTTATATATAAAAACATCGATTCTAGTGAGCTACAAAATCAAAAAATCAAAATATTTCTAATTTAAGTCTGGAAATTCGCACGAAAACTAATGGAAATGTTATCGAATTTTTTCCAATTTTTTGTTTGTACAGTTCAGAATCGTGGCTTTTATGGGTATTGTTTTACTATGAACCAAAATTTTATAAAAAATAAAAATTATTTAACTTGGGAGACTAGAAATCTTAACAGAATAAATTTGGGATGTCCCATTTTGAGATGGCAGTAAATGTATGTGTATCTAGAAAACCACTTCACCAATCTGTACGGAATTTGATACACATATTACGCCCAACCGTTTTGAATTTTTTTGAAAACGTACAAAACCTCGCCTTTAAGTTTTCGAAAATTTCCGTTTTTACAAGCTTTTGTTTACTTATAACTCCTTCAGCATTTAAACAAAGTAAATCACGCACGAATTTATTTGATGTATAATTTACTTGTTTGTGTTCAATTAAAAAATTTATATATAAGTTTGAATCGCACGGTTCTGGACATACATATCTCGGATATCTCCGATGTAATTACAAAAGTTGGTGAGCTATATTTTCATGGACAATATTTTGTTTTTAATTATGTGGCAATTTTGCACTTAGATAGGTGTTACTATCCAAAATTTAAAATTAAAATAATATATTGTCACCACATTGTCAAACAGTCCTGAAAGCATTTTGTATTTATGTAAATTTTAATAGGTTTTGCTTCTGCTGTTAAAAAAAAAACTTCCGTTTAGGGTGTTCTTCGGGTTACTAAAAATAATTACGACTGCGAATCCTGAAGCACCTAGATTTCTCTATCGGGTAGCTATCGCAATTTAATTAATAATCCAGTTTGCACACTCAGCAGGAAAACACCGCCTCAAAGGCATTGCTACTTTCCTTTTCTTTCAGTCACGTGACGTGTCCTTTAAATGCCCTGTGGCGTACAGTAGGCAATAGCATACCGAGCCATAAAACTCAAGCGAGTAAGCTTTTAGTTTATACACACACATTTATACACATATACATATATGTATACGTATAAATATAGTTGTGTTTATTTTCCATATTTGTTTTTATCATTAATTATGCGTAACATGTGACTCCAAACGCCACGACCGACTGACCGAGTTATGGTTTCTCGTAGCTGTCAACATCAGACGGCATCCCGTCGTCATCTGTATCGTCAACAACATTTGCCGCCAATTAACTTCGCGCGCACTTACAAATACACTAACACAATATTAAATAATCCCACAACAGTAGCTTACATATAACGGGTGATTTTTTTGAGGTTAGGATTTTCATGCATTAGTATTTGACAGATCACGTGGGATTTCAGACATGGTGTCAAAGAGAAAGATGCTCAGTATGCTTTGACATTTCATCATGAATAGACTTACTAACGAGCAACGCTTGCAAATCATTGAATTTTATTACCAAAATCAGTGTTCGGTTCGAAATGTGTTTCGCAAACCCAATTGCTGCGAACGGCGACGAATCGACATTTCACGGTCTTCAGCAACACTCTCAGAAACAGACGCAATATTCTCTTCTGTACGCACTGTACGCATTCGTGTGGTTGGTTTAATGTCCAATAAAGTAAACTGAGTGCGAAACTTGGTCACAATCGCATTAATTGTTTGCTCACTTGGTCGATTATGTAGACCATAAATCGGACGTAAAGCGAACCGAACACTGATTTTGGTAATAAAATTCAATGATTTGCAAGCGTTGCTCGTTAGTAAGTCTATTCATGATGAAATGTCAAAGCATACTGAGCATCTTTCTCTTTGACACCATGTCTGAAATCCCACGTGATCTGTCAAATACTAATGCATGAAAATCCTAACCTCAAAAAAATCACCCGTTACATATGTATGTATAAGTAGCTACATATATTTATGTACGAGTATGTATGTATTTTAAGACGAGAGTATGCTTGCAATTAGCGAGCGTGCTGTTTCCTTTTTCCCTTTTTACACACTTTGAAAACTTTTATATTTGATGCCTCACTGACAGTTACACTAAATATTTTGACTTCCATTGCCGTGGCAGGCGCGTACAAGTAGGTACACTTAGAGGAAGGCATATTTACAGGCGCACAATCTGGTGGTGGCAGATGTGTAGCGCAAATATAAGTCAGTGGAAAATTTGGGGTCGTTAGATTGCGGCATATTACTAATGAACTCTCTGATATTTGGTTTTCCATTTATTTGTTGTTGTTTGCTACACGTTTATGTTTGTTCGAATATGTGTTTGCCATTTCACCGTCACTGCTGTCATTGAAAAATGTCACTGCAAATGTGGTATTTGTCACATTCAATTAACAACTCATTCGCTCATAACGCTTACATGCCCACACGCCTAGCGATTGAGGGGCTGAGTGGTTGATCGGCAGTGACAGCCACTTTTTTGTAGGTAAATTTTCGTTTAGTTGAAGCAGATATCATTTATCACATACATATATGTAGTCGTGGTAAATATAGATACTATGTATTCTGCAAACTAATTTTATAAGTATATCCATTTTTAATTTAAAATCACATACACATGTTTTTAGATACTTTTATATAGATGAGCACACTCAAACATATACAAAAATTATAACAATTAAAACTATTTACCAAAAAAAAAAAAAAAACAAGTGCACGAATTGCACAGCTGTGCCACTCACATTCACTCAAGTTTTTGTTGATGCCGAATTTTATATACATACATATGTATGTACACCAGGACGATTATATACGCAGATATGTATGTATGTGTGTACCAGTATATAAATGCACACGATATAACATACAGTGGCGCGCGCGTTCCCACACACAAACCGAAACGCTCACACGCACACACCCAAACACTGATAGTACACTATATAGCAGGTGTTGTTGTAGTGAACACTCCCGTTATATTTCCTTCCGTAAAGTGAACCAATAAAGATGACAGCGCGACGATGACTAAATGATGCAGTGGTCCGTCGCATGTTGGTTGGTAGCTTCCAACATCGAGAGCGCGTGGCAGGTGTGGTGAACTTCTATTGAGATTGCTCGGAGAGAAATTGCGTGAAGTACACAAAAGGATGCTGTGAAACAGCTGATACGTGTATATAAGGAGTTGAAGTGATGCGGAGTTTGGCTGCTGTAAGAGCTTCACAGAGATAGACGATAGACGAGAGAGAACTGAAATTATCAGGATGTATTTTGTGGAAAAAATGCCAAGCGCGAGAGTATTATTCGAAAGGATGCCGCGGTGAGTGATAAGAAAGCTTCACGAAGCTCGTTGCATGTACACAGTGGTATGTGGGTATGTATATAAATCTTTAAAAAATTAGTATTTATTTACTGAGAAATATGTGTGATGATTAACAAAGGGTTAGGGCAAGTAACCTTGACAACCAGCCAAGTTCCTACACCCTTCTTTGAAAAAAAGTTAATAGAAGTTTGAAGGAGTTACCGCTCAAACTTGACATTGTAGTTGATTAGGAAATAGAAAAATAGTGATTCATAAAAGATGTTCCTTATATACCGGTGCAGAGTCCCTTAAGCGAAAGGCCTAAGAAACATTGAACTTTCTTAGTGAGTTCCAAAAACTCTTTGGCAATTTACATAATGGGTAATTCTAAGGAGTTCGTACAGAATTTTCTCTTCATATGAGAATGTAAGCAATTAAACAGGCATTAAGTTACTTGATGTCAACTACCAGCAAGGGGTTGTGCGCTGGACTTTGGACCCGCCACGCAAATAACGAGTTCAGTGAAAAGACTAAGTAAATCTCGGATAAGTGTATGTGTCTGAATGTTCGGGCCTTCTGTTGGGAAGATGACTGTTTCGAAATGCTCCCGGTCTTACAGAAATACCAAGCTAACATCATCGCAATACAAGAATTGCGATGGGGTATGCATCAGGCGACGTTTGTTACAGCTGTCATGAGACGGCGCGAACTAGATGTCAGATTTGTGGTCGGGAGGAGACCGCGACATCTTTTCTCGAGGTTCATTTCGCATCAAAACTGAGTTCAACTACATTAGCTTCACGCAAGTACACGCCCGACGGAGAATAAGAAGGATCAGGCCAAATCGCAATTTTACGAGTGCCCAGAATAAGCTTATGCGGGTGGGAAAACATTGACATTTGATTTAACAGTCGGAAAATTCAGCAGTAGTATCGCAGACACTAGAGTCGAAACGTTTAAAAAGCCACTTTCGTGTTGCCCGCTCAAAAAACGAAAAGCCAAATCAAACACGTTGTGATAGAGGGAAAAAATGCCTCGAGCATTCTGTATGTTCATATCATCCAGGAGCGCACATGCTGGCTGGTAATTCTTAATTATATGTAGTAAAAAATTAAGTTAATTCAATAAAAGCAATTAGAAAATAGAAATATGTATCCCGATAAATAAAAATGTTAGGACGAAGGACAATTTTATAACGAAAATGTTAAAATATTAAACTTTTGACAAATTTAATAAAAACGGCCAATTAAAATTTTTTCTACAATTAATTAAGAATGTGTGTTTTCCACACACACTGCAGCAATGTTTAAATTGAATGCTTAAAATTAAGATAAGATTATTGGAGCCTCAAAGGGCTATGTTAAGTTTAAAAGGGGGGGCGGGGGTGCAGGGGCAAAAAATAGGGGCTAAAAGCAAATTTCTGAGGCAATTTAAAATAAAATGAGCTAAATCAGGCTCCAAAAGCACCAAAATGGCAACACTGGCTAACAAGTCCGAAGATGAAGACAAAGCGAAGGCGAGTGCGAACACGAACACGAACACGAATACTAAGGGCCGGTTTCTTAAAGCCTAGTTGACATTCATCTTCGGTTAACATCGTTATCGACATCTTCGACTCCATGCATATAACACGGGGTCGGTAACGTCGATAACTATGTTTAACCAGAGATTAGTGTCAACCAGGCTTAGAGCAACCGGCTCTAATTCGTAAGCTAATATTAAAAGTAATACAAACTTCTGGAGTATTAAACGAAACGATTTCATATGGTGCTAGTCAAATATTAACTCATAGAAGATACTCTTCATGGCATTTTTTTATTAGGTGATGGTTGATGTTAATGTGGGTCGCAAATTTTGTAATAATATTTTGTATTCGTATTGATTTATTAAATTTAATTCAATACAATCTAAACGAATATCTAATGTACGGGCTTAAACTTAAATCTGCTCTCTTTAGTGGCTGTGGCTCCGACATGGGCCGCAGGTCAAGCTGAAGGCGCTGGATTGAATTTTTTTTTTTTTTTTTAATTTGGAAACACTCCTTCGAGGCTTCCTACGGATGACCAGAAGGAGCTGTTATCAAAAATAATCGTATGACTATTATAGTGTATACTGGCGGGTTTTTGATTGCATTTTTTCAGCTATTCACCAAAACCCATATACAATTGAGCATAAAATCACCAGAAACTGTAGCCGATATGTGTGTACATAACGGTATAAATACATACATATGTATGTATATACTTATGCGTATAAGTGAATTTTATCGATTAATGCTTTTCATAGCAACAATAAAAAGATCTGACACTTTTAAGGCATTGTAAAATAAATTGGAGAACAGGTGAGAGCTAAAAGAGAAGTTGTCCGTGATAAAATTATCAAGTTTTCAATCAATTCGCAGCAACAGTGAAAGGCGCGCGTAAGTTCGCTTCATTGCCACCACATAATCAAGGTGCTTACTTAGGTGTTCATAGAAGCGCGGCAAATGCAACTAGATATGTACATAGGTGTATGTATGTATGTATATACACTGAGCTTTACTCATCGAATTGAGTTTCAATACAAATGTGCGAATAATCTTAAGCCGTCATCACTTTCCGCAGAGCCGGTCGCGCGCCAACAGCTGATATTTATCAGCCAGTGCTGCGTGTATGAAAGCACATGAACGCACACATATATGTGCATATGTACATACTTATGTACATGCATATTTACACAGATACATAAACATTTTATATAGTAGTTTATGCCTACATACATATATCAGACGTCATAGTTACACTGTGAGCTTTTTGCCCCACGTCACGAAGTGCTTGAACTATGTACGTATGTATATGTCGACGTAGTGGCAGAAAGGAGCATACTGTAAGGCGCGCTAGCTATAAAACTCACGCTCCTACAACGCTTAAGTACCAAATAGTTGCTTTTCGAATGCCTTGTGAACTTTTTTCTTAGCGTTTTTAATAACTTATGCGAAACACCTGCGCTCACCTCAACTTAACGTTATGTACGAGTATACGATAAGGCAAAGGACAACAACAACGATTTACTTTATGCTTAGTTTTAATGGTTGTGCATATTTTTCCATTTTACTTTTTAAGCTTAACGGCGGGCACTTAAACGCGGTTATTCCTTCAAAGCTGTATACGTCATAGTTAGTTAGTTAGTTAGTTAGTGTGAAAGGTCACCGTTAAAAGTGTTTATAGGTAAAAGCAATAACAACTAAATCGGCAATAGCGGGCATAACATGAAATTGTGCTTGAGGGTTGCCGTAAAAAGAAATATTTTCGCACATATTTTTTATAGAGTTTTTCTTTCACATTTCCATTTAATTTATGAGCTATTTATGGCATCTACAGCATATTTTAGCATTTTTGGAATTGTTGCTTGAATCATCGTCTGCTGTTGAGAGGCTTAAGATACGCACTATATGTAGATAGGCTGATCAGTATACGATGGGTATTTCTTGGCAATGCTTTAGGATACTTATAGTAATGTGCTTACTTGTATGCAAATGTCTTCTTGTGTTATCTTGCCTTTCTTATCGTTGGCCACAATTCGAGCAAGCTGATTACTGGGATTCTGTACATAGCGTGTGCTTAGACTTGGTATGCTGTTGTAAGTGTTGGAGTTTCCATAAATAATACACCTATGTATATTTACATTCTCTTGCTAGGTTTATCTTTGCGAAAGGAAACACATGCATACATACTTAGTATGTTTTGTTTATTGGGTACAACAAAAAAAGGTACACCGCAACAAAGAAGATTTTTGTTATCCATTTGGCCGCCCAATATGCAATTACCGTCCCTAATAAATACTAAAAGTGTCTTGGTAGTCAAAGTCGTTATACTAACGTGTTGAACTGTGGATGACTTAAAGTATTTCAGTCTTCGCCTGACCAATGCCGGAAAATCAAACATAATGTGCTCTGACGCCTCCTCTTGTTCAAAAAATGACGGTATTACGTATCACTGGAGAGGTCAATCCGCTTGTGCCCGGTTAGGTAAGCAATAGGCAACTGTTTTCAAAAGACTTACATACGTGGCCTTTTATAGCAAAAAAAATATCCGAAAAGTCCAGCTTTTATAACGCCGTTGTATAACGATATTGAGTGAAGTCCACCTCTAAAGAGATAGCTCCATAGGCGGTGTTATCAAAAGTCCCAGCAGAGCTTTTCATTCTTTGCCGTTCCAGAGCATCTTTTTCTCGAAAATTCTTGGTTTCATTTTCAAAACTAGGTTGATAGTCGTACCATCTAATTAGGATGTGGAAAAGTTGGCCCTTTGTACCGCCCAGTAAAGGGAACTAACTAAGTTTTAGTTCGGTATACTTCCGGGCTATAGAGGCCGCTAGAGGACTCCCCGCTAAGGGATGCTCCTCTTGACTGACTTCGGAATCAGATGCTTAGTCCCAAACCAATGAATCTGCGCACAAGCAGTCCAACAAGTGACTTCTCCACCTGGAGAGCCAACTTGACTTAAGGGTATATACACACAACAACAAATACAACAACCAAATTTAAGGTATTCTTATTCGTAATGGTTATAGTAATAGTAATGGTGGTAATCTAAGAATATGAGTCTACATAAAATATAATGGTAATGGCAATGATAATTATAATGTTAGTTTTAACAGTAATTATAATGGTGATGGTAATGATAATAGTTATTGTAATGGTAGTGAAAATGGTAAGA